TCTTGGCGCCAAAAGAAAATGCAGCCTCCATGATTCAATCTAGTTATATAACAAAAACAATAAACATCAATTTAATACAATTGCGTACTTCCATTCAGATTTATAGAAATATATCAAGGCTGATCAATTAGAACATATCACAAGTAACATATATTACATAATAAAGTATCAACATACCTCTAAAGTGTTTGACGTTGCATTCACGCTTGCAATGAGATTACCCCTATACCAAATATAAATATTAACTTATCAAACCTGATGAGGAATAATCAAAATCGAGTGTTAATGGCTTTGTTGAATCTTAACATAAACGTGAACTCTATAAACAAAGTTTGAATGTGTATTATGCAAATTAGCTAATTAATATTCATGATTACTCATCACAGAATAAATATTAATCATTTGTTGACCTTTAGAATATTTCCACCAAGTTTCGTTCCAATCCTATTAGTGGCTGCTAATTTAACAATAATACACTGCCTGTTTGCACTTATATACAATTTCGCAATATTGAGTCAATACTATTTGAATGCTTCAACAAGTAATCATCAATTTCACAGTTTTTGCAAGAGCAGTTGCAGAGCAGACCTCTTGATTCTTGTTTGTGAATAGTTGAACTAAAATAAAAATCTATTGCAAAAAGTATAGGAAGAAGTGTCAAGTCCAACCATATTTTGAAGGCTTTTGGGCCCCTGGGTCCCAGACTAGTAATTTACATATAGAAGAGCGATAAATATATATATATATATATATATATATATATATATATATATATATATATATATATATATATATATATACATGTATATAGAAAAGCAATAAATAATAGTATATTTGTAAATATTTTACGGTAGTTGTTAGATAAGTGCAGTCCTGAGTAATTCTAATTGAAATGTTACTAGCTAAGATAGAAGCCTAGTCATAATTTTTGACAAAATTAGTCACAAATCGCATGACAATGTTCATTAGTTTAGTATGTACAATCATGAAGCTAATGTCCCACCATGGTATAATGAAATAACATTATCTTGTGTGTTACAGTTATGCTTTTTGAGAAACGTGTCCTAATATTTTTTGAAAATTGTTATTTTTAGAACAATTCCATAGAACACAATGTTAAAGAAAAATTGCATATTTTGACACTTTTTTAAAACCCAGATTTTTTTAAATAACAACATAGTACTCCATCATTAACAATATATGATTTTTTCAGCCTATGTCACCAGGCTAGATTTTGAGATATTGCATAATATCTCTGCCATAGGAACCTGTGGTAAAAGTGTTATAATAGTGTCAAAATGGCGACTTCCACTAAAAATACAACCAACAATTTCTCGAAAAAGGGCTGGTGACCCCACAACTTTTTTAGGTCAATATCCTTATATTGCATTGGAGTACAATTATTGCAAAATGAATAAATTCTGAGTTTTTTTAATTTATGAGTAGGCTTCTATTTTAAGGCGACTATTATGATAACTATTTTTTGGCATATGAAAACTTGAGGTTAGCTACAGGGGTTATATACAGGGGAAAATGACAGGGGAGCGGAAAGTGTGTATGTTAAAAATAAGAAGTATTTGCTTGGATGAACAAAATATTTAGTTGGAGGGAAGACAATTTTGGGGGTGAAAATTACAATTTTAGCTGACAAAATTATTAGGCTCATTGACACAATGCTGTATATAAAAATGTCAGCAGGTCTTCATAGATATTGAACTAAAATACAAAAATAACAGAAAATTAAACACAAGAGCTTATTAACAAAGCAGCATACACTGGAATTTGTAGGCGATTCCTGTCTCTTTAAACTAAATCGCCAATTTTTTTTTGTATTTATTTATTTATTTATTTATTTATTTATTTATTTATTTATTTATTTATTTATTTATTTATTTATTTGATTGGTATTAAATTGTCGCATTTTAAAGTTAACTTTGATGCTCCCCGCTGGCTCGTTTTAATAAATTTGACATAACATAACATACCAAATACTAAAAATATATATATAATACATTTCGAACAAGAGTGACATATTATATTATCTATTCAAGTTAACTTAAAACTATCGCTACAAGTGTTTGTTATTTGTAATTATTGGGAAGTTCACATGATATGCTTGCAATGAGTGGAAGTAATATCATGTGTATGGGCTGACAATCAAAACCTCAGGGTACATTGCTTTCTTTCGCGTTTTGGTTGACCATCGTTAACTCGGGTGAATTTGGCATAAACAATCATCTGCATAGAGAACATTTTAAAGACGATCACATTCTACAGAAAAATAAAGTATATTTAGCAAGACACACCACACACTTGTTAGAGGGAAGCAAACAAAAAACAATCTAGATCAAAACAAATGGGAAGTTTTAAGATAGATTTATATTTCTAGGTTAATACTGGTTTGAGAGAGAAAAAAAACCCCATCCCGAGTGTATAATAGCTATTCCATCCCTCCAATAATAGTAGAATGGTCCGCCACTTCCGGGTAAACCCTGAGGACACCCTTCTCCGCGAAAATGAAATAAGATATGAGTTTAAATAGCAATACTTGTCTCACTTTGAACATTTTTAGTTATTCTGGATTAGTACTTATGTATTTACAGATGTATATTTAAAACAAGTGACAATTTAGAGAGAAATTGAAAAGGATTCATGGAACACATCACATGTCTATAGAACAAGGCTGGAATAATGGCGGCTTCCACATGAACGATGTCTGTATGGTCAGTGGTGAAGAACGTTCGTTTTGCACGCAATTCTGGGCTGCTTATATCATGCATTACCACTGAACATGCCGTACCGACGGAGTTCAACCTGCCAGGGAAGTGTCGGTCTTTTTACCATACGATCGTGAGTTGTAGAAGTCAAATCGAACAGAAGGGGAGTAGAGCATGGCCGACATGCTTACGATGCCCAACCTCCAACCACTCTCGCTATCTCAGGCTGCCTTCGTGTTCTTGTCAGTATCGCACATACTACGTAGTGTCAAACAGTGAAAGACATGAACGTTCTGTCACAAACAAGTGTCCTACAAGTAGAACTGGGTCAGGTAGTTTGTTCTCTTCTGCCGAGATTCGATGTATGTGCACACACGAACAGCAGCGACGTTCGCAGTGTGGATACCAGGATAGAAAAACAAGCACGAAAAAAACATTAATAAAAGCTGGTAAACGAATGAAAGATAGGTATGAAGAAGTGGAGGAAAAAATTCGACTAAAAGCTGAAGAAGTAGAAGACAAAGTGAAGGAATTACATACTGCTGGCCAGGTATATCAAACGAACCCTACCCGGACCCGAGGGTCATTCCAATTTTTATCCACCCCCCTACGGATGGATATTAAGGTTATGACACCCTATGGATTCAAATCCACCATTCAGGTGTCGGATTTTTGTTAACTAACACACCTCCTGGAAACTACTGATTTGACGTATTCGGATGGGTATGTGAAAATGTATACCCCCCTCGGATACACACAAAAACAGAACCCCTCGGAAAAAAAGGCTGTGTGACTTGCAAGTGGCCTACTTGGGTCTTCTAATTACAAAAAAAAAATTGTGAATTGAGATGGTATGTTGCGAAGAGCAGTGCAGTTGGAAGGGGTCAATGATTTTTTTGGAAGGGGTCTGCACAACTAGTGATGTCATAATATGACGTCACCTAGAGGGATGTGTCTGTGTTGGTAGACAAAATGGTGTTACACTGAGTCCACATTGTTTTGTGCACCTGATTTGCAAATCGGTCCGAATATTAGTTGAATGACTTTTGTCATTGGTATTTGATTTTTTTCAACTGAATGGTCAGGTAATTTGCGGACTGATTCACAAATCATATGTATGAAGCAATATGGCGCTCAGTGTAAATGCAAAAAAATACATCTAGAGTGCACATATGCATGTAGAGTGTTATATAATAACATTTTTTTATTGCTCACAATTTGCTTTATACAAGCAAGGTCTATTGACTATTGGTAAAACTTTAATACACAGGTTTACTGCTTTGGATTTAATGTCATGTTTTATATTTAGTTGAAAGCCCGTTGTAAATAGGTTAATTTGACCCCCTTAACTAAATCCAAGAACGAAATCCAGGACAACATCTATGGGGTTTGCCTGAAAAATGGCCAAGTTATTCAAGTTGGGAAAACAACTTAAATCCTATGATGCAACAGTGAGTAGCTTACCAACATTGGCCTGTGGAGTCTAGTTGCTCATTAAAAGCGTAAACTAATGAAAAGAAATGTTTTAACACAACGAAACTTAGCGAAAAAGTCTTGTGATAACAGTAGAACCTGCTAGCAGTACAAAAGTTCATAGTTTATTTACAATGTTGAATTGGGACTCCCTAAGTTGTTGAAAACTCAAACCAACTGTTTTCAGGCATTATAATGTATGCTGTATAGTAAAACATATTTCTGAAAAGAGGAAATGATCAATTTTCAACAAAAATTAAAACATAATACAACTTTAAAACCTAAATGTTCATATGTCAAAAGTTTGATAATTATAATTATAATTGTGAACAGTCCTCAATACTTTTGCCCTGAAATATTGAACCATTTTGGTGTGACAAAAGACGCAAGGTAACCAATTATTACATAATATATGTATGTATGTATTGTCAACTTCAGTTAACTCATCGTGTTCATGGTATTTGCGAGAGTTAAACGATTTTTTGAACAAATGATAAGTAACTACATTGTATATCGATTTGCATCAAGCTGGGAGGCCCGAATTTAAAGCGAGAGGATCGTCACCTGCGCAAGCGTGGGAATGGAGTCCCAAGCAATAATAACACACGCTGAGAACACAAAGGGTAGACGTGGGTAGACGTTGTTTATAAACAATGGCCACACTATGGACGCATGCGTAGGTGACAACTTTCCCGCTTTAAATGTCAGTGCATGAACTCTGGAGGTCATTGCTCATCGTCACACGTAATTCAAATATGTGGCTATTAAAGTTCAGTTGAAATGTACATGAATAATGTAATCGAAGTGTGCTGCCCAGAGTTTATTATATTATATAGTAAAATTTAAACATTGCGCATGATATGGTATGTTGTTGTATGGTTTATATTGCATATTCACTTCATTTCACTTCATAAAATAATTCACAATAGGAACATCCATGAATCACAAGTATTTAAAATATTTTTTCGACAGTAGCCACCTGACTACTTTCTTTTTCAATGATTTAAAGTGCCTGTGAAATGGCTGCTATTTTCATGCCTAAAATTATCAATTTTTATGTTTCTAAGCATGAATTATTTTTTAAAAGTGAAAAAATGTGTTTTAAACTTAATCTACGGCAACTTTATTTTTGTGTATTTTAAAACAAGGCTCCTAATTAGCTTTTTATTTGCATACAGAAATTCCCCTTGTGATGTCAGAAGGGGAAGTCGCATGGCAGCTTGCATTGCCGATACGTGTAAATAAGGCAAATTTCTTCTGCAGTTTTCTAGTCTTTGACTAAATTTTCACTTATGTACTTGTTCATTGAGGAGGAATAGACCATAATGAACACATAGTATCAATTAGATGCGAAATATGTTCGTTCTGGTGTAGCTGGTCACCACGATCGTCAGCGGCGCACGTTTGTACACAATCGCTGGACAAAATAGAATTTGACGTCGGAATTATCTCGTTATTTAGCAGGTTACTAGGCACATCACTACACTGTTTTATTTCATCGATCGTCTGAGTAAAACTTTCAAAATTAAAATAAAAGAGAACATATTTTGACATTCTAAACATTAGACTATAGTGATCACTATAAAATAATTAAAAAAAATGACAAATCACAGTTACTAAATAAATTACAGCCGCGTAGGAATAAATTGAAATTTTGTTGAAATAGGTGAATGCGTCGGGTCACGACGAAGGCAAGTGCGTTAAAAGCGGCGTTTAATTGGATAACAAAAATAAGCGAGATCGACACACATACAGATAAATTCAGAGTGGATTTGAGTTGGCGTGATCCATGGCGTGATTGTCATAATTATAACATATTAAAACTTTATTTGGTGGAAACACATTGACCAAGCCTGGATTCTTATTTTATAAATTATTACGCAGATCAAGCTGCAAGCATGGAGGTAAAAAAAGAACAGAGGTGTGAATTTGACATTCAACACTAATCACCAAACAATTCAGAAACTTTTAGCCTTCGAAAATGAAAACAATTAGCAGTGTGTAAGGGCTGTGTAATTTCCTGTTTGTCCGACGCTTCGTTTTCGTGTCACTGTCAAAATTATTGCTACCTTTTACTTAACAGGGACTAAATGGTCTCTATAAAATGATAATCACGATCGCAAAAAAAGTCAACTCATTTGAAACACTTGCCGGACGTCTCTCTCTCTTCTGAAATCCGCCTCGGTGATCATAGTCCGGAATCTATTTCTTTCAAAAGTGTTGGGCCAGGTTTATGTTGTCGGCGTTTCTCTTTAAACCTAGGACCGATTTTTCAAAAAAAGGAATCTGAGGTTAAGTGGCTTTAGTCCACTGATGTTGCACCTTCGGATCGATTAGAAATGTGTGAATACTTACCCTATGACTTTACGTTTCACTGCAACTGCCCACAACACAACATCTAAAAACTCTCTCTCAAAAAGAAAAAAAATAGACAAAAAATAAGGAAAAAAAATGCAGACTGAAAAATATATATCGTTTAAAAGTATACTGAATGACCAGTGTTATTACGGCTCAGGAGTATGACTTCCTCTCAAATTTTGGCATTTGGTGGTGCACTTTCGGCGAGAGTCGGAAATCCGGAAACAGTCGATCGTTTCAGAATAGGTGGGCGTGGCTACAACACGAGAAATATCCGAAATTTACTTGGATACGAGTAATCATTTTCAGCAAAAAAATCAATAACTGCCCATTTCAGTGGGACACAGATCTAAAATGGGAAACGTTTGCGTAATTATTACGAATGCATTATTATCAAGTCAGTAATATTGAAATATTCACAGACTCAGTACCCCAGGTCAGTACCCTAACAATAGTAAAAATAACTTGAGTTTGCGTAATTATTATGAAAGCAATTACAATGTTGAAATATTCAGAGCCGGTACGTAATTAGAAAAGCCAGTACAGAGTTGTGTACAAGTTGCGTAATTACAGTACCATCGGATATAATAATTTTACTAGATCAACGCTCGAGGCAAGAATGAAAGGGGTTGCTAAGGTAACGTGCCAGTTCAAAGCGTGTCTTGGGGGTCAAACTTCGGTCAACACACACTTGATGTCAGCATCGCCGTGCAGCAAGTTTCGCAAAGAAGTACTTAGAGTTAAATTGTGCCCCAAATTTTGACTTTTTTTTTTTTTTAGTGCATGTTCTTGTTCACGTAAAATGTGACCTCTCACCAATGTATTGAATAAAACACTTTGAATTTATAATTTGCGTGATTATATTTGGTCTAAGCGAAAATTAAACTTGCTAAACATTATCTGAGACCATGCATGATGTATATTCACAAAATCATATTTTATATTATGTACGTCTTTCATTCCAAGGCTCAGGCAAATAAAACAAATGTTCTTTTGCCAACTATTATAGACTAGTTTCCAAGCTTTTGACTAAGCCAAATTTATTTAATTTTCCATTGGAAATTTATGTGATCCTTGTAATTTGTAAAAAAATAATCAAAAATATGACCCCCCCTCGGAATTGAATCATCTGTAGGGATGTGGATATAGAGAAAAAAAAAGTCAAAAAATTACACCTCTCGGAATTGAACCATCCATACTTTTTGTAGAAATATGACCCCTCGGATTTAAACCATCCGTAGGGGGGGGGGGGTGGTGGACAAAAACTGGAATGTCCCCTAACACCTAACCCTAAGTACCCCCGGCTCTGAAGAGACTTATTTACAATTGAAATGGGAGAGAAGCACTGGCGGGGCATTGTTAGGAGTTATGAGTTAGGGGAGCCTAAGGAACATCTGCCCTAAATTGCCACTCGCATCAAATTCGAATGACCTTTGTCAGAAAAGCACTTTCCCCCAGAAATTAAGATTATCGAGATCTACATTTGTTTCCTGATCTGATGAATTCTCTTGGCTTGGAGAGACCCGTTTTGAGGTGCCTTGCTGTCTGAGTGCATGAATATAAAATGATTTTTTTAAATTAGCATTTCTGCAATATAACCTTCGTACAAAGCTTTCCTCGGTAATAGTCAATGGAGTCTACATTCTGAAATAAAAAAAAATTCCTACATTTAAATCCTAATTGGGAAAATTACTAATTAGCCATGTACCCGCTGCATTGTAGACTGTACACTGATCGTTCTCTGGCCTAACTTCTTTCCTAGTCCAATAAATTACTCAAGTTACTTGGAAATTATGTTGTGAACAAGAGGTAATGACTTTTGATTACAACACAGATGCATCCACCATCTCACTATATGATTAGTATCGGTACATGTACAAACATTTACATGTACTGCATTACACATTTTTATAAATCGAAATGCATGTTAGAATTCAAATTAGCTAATCCAGAAATGGTGTTGTGGCATTGTTAGTTCTAATTAACATTATAGTTCAGTTCAACATTATCCTATCAGCAAGTGCCCCATTTTGAATGTTATATAAATATCCTTTCGCTGTAAATATCTTTACCATAATATTTTGATGGTGAGATAGACATGTACCACTGCAATCAAGTTCTATATAGAATGAGCATGATGCTATGAGCTTTTGTGCTGACATTGAGATACACAAGGATGATGTTTATTCAACCTTTTAACCTCTAGCCAAAGGAAAATTATTTGGTCCATAACAAACATAAAAAAAATTCAAAAAAAGTGTAAAATTTGCTTCAAACTTTTGTTTGAACAATTTTATTACCCTGTAAAATGATGTTCTGAACCCCAGTATATGACAGGAGAGTAGGACAATTAGACTAATATTCTGTAATTATGAAGAATCCATCATTAATTATTTGATATTTTTACTCAACAGAAAGAAAATATCTATACAATACCAAATCTACTGACAACAAGTCGTATAGCTATTTCACCATTACTGGGCTATCTAGTCCTTCACGAATATTTATGGTTTGCAACCTGTCTTTTTGGCATTGCCGGCATCACTGACCTGGTAAGTAGTACATTTAATATTCCGAAGAAAGCCTTATCATTTGTACTGTGCAACCATTTCAGCACAAGGTCAGGTAGTTGAAGTTTCTGTGGTCATCCTGCTATACTTAACACAGAACGCTATTATTTATCAATTCTGACTGAGTTGAACCATAATTCCTTTGTAGCTTGATGGTTATATAGCACGTAATTTTGCAAATCAACAATCAGTATTTGGCAGTATTCTGGACCCCCTAGCTGATAAGATATTAGTTGGTGTCTTGACAGTGTCACTCACTGCAGTGAATTTAATTCCAAGTAAGTGTTTGTATTTATTCTCTGTCAAGTAATTTGTCTGTTAACAAATGTGTTGTAGAGTATATGCTAATATACTAGGTACAGAGAACTTGGTTACAAGGCAGCATTTTATTGAACCCAATAGCTCGTGCCAGCAAAAATTGCTTTGTTCATGCACTTAGCTCAAGCAGAGTTCAGTTTCTATATATCTCGGGGTTGAGCTCAGATAAGACTGGGGATCAGGATAGAAAATTACACCTTGTGACTTATTCAAATTATGTTCTATTCAGATCATGGTATCTCGGGAGTCGATATCATTTGTAATTTTGTGCAGAAAATGTAAATGAGCGAATTGCAGTGCTTATGTTTTCCGAGCAGACCTGTTTCTCAAGGAATGAAAGTTCTGTCTCAAATTTACTGTTGCTCTATGTATGCATCGTGTCAGAGAAAAAAAACTCCATGACAGAAAATTCATAAAATGGTTAGGTCAGTGAATGTCATCAAATCTATATGTAGGAGGTTATTGTCTACATTCTTAACAACTATATTGATTCTCAAGTGATTGACGGAGATGTTCTGTTCAGTTCTATTCAAACCTGGTCAAATTCTGCTCTCTATCGATCCAAACCGGTATAAAGATAATCTCCTCATAATTGGTGGGAGGAACAATAGTTTGGCTTCTACAACGTGACTATTAATAGAAGGGAAATACTACTTCTGCAACTTTGGTGTGCTATTTGTTTCAAGCTTGTTTATAATTGTCAATTTTTTTAATGGAAAAATCAATAAAACGATTGTCAGTAATATTTGAGTAGCTGTACTATTATGAATTATGTAAAACAATCTATTCCAATGTGAAGTGGAGGTTGATGCATTCTCATTTTACCTAAATGCTTACTTTTTGATATACTCTTATCTTTTCCTTGATTATATCAGTAGTAATAACAGATAACATCCTGAAATGATAATCAAAACATTTCGTGCTGTTCTACATTCAGTGACAGCATTGTGTTTTCGTCATGCGCTATATCGCTTTTGTATCCAAATGTAAACAAAGAAAAACTGTTCAACACATAGATTTTGGTGACGCAGTTTACCCCAAATATAGAGTGGTTAATTCTATGCTTGATGTATAATAGTACTTGTTTACACCATCTTCTGTTCGTTTCAGTTCCATTGACTTTTGTGATAGTTGGTAGAGATGCATTATTGCTTTCCTATTCCTTCTATCTACGGTATACGTCATTGCCGCCGCCTTTCACACTGAGAAGATATTTCGATGTGACACATGCTACTGTTAAATTGAAACCTCTACTAATCAGTAAAGTGAGTACCCATTATGACTCTCCATGCATGCATGTGTGAAACATTCAAAGTCGTGACCTTATCTCATAGGTTTACTTGTTAGTAATATTAATTGTAGATCGCCAGCTGTACATATACTGTTCACAATTATGACAATGTTAGTGTTGAGGCAAGCATCACCAACTGCTTACTGCCTGAAAATACACACTGACCACATTATTAGCATTTACTTGTATCATGTTTTTGTTCTTCACATGAAAATGCAAATGGCTTCAGGCAATTGGGAAGTGTTGCATTTTATTTGAAATTTATTTTAAAACTGCTTATAAATTACAAAGTTTCATGTTTTTGGAAGCCTTGTATTATATTAATTTCTGAGAATAAATTAACCTTAATAAAATGTCATTAATTTTCTAAGTCTGTTCTTAAATTCAGGTGAATACTAACATCCAGCTTATTACAGTGGCAGCATCTCTTGCAGCACCAGTGTTCGGTTACTGTGACCATCAATATCTGCATGCACTCTGGTAAATAGAAACAATCTTATACTTCAATTTTTCAGTACTTGAATTTTGAATCAGCTCTATGCAAAAAGAAACTGTTCATACTTTCCGGTTCCCAGTGTCTCTATGTAATGCTTCAAATTGAACATTGTTTGTAATATTTGTAATCTCCCTTGGAATTTAGAAAATTCTCTGCATGATTAAACTAAAGAGTCGGATAAAAAAAAGATTTGTGGCTAATATGCAATTTGAAATTTTTGTGTGTCATTCATGGTATTTTATTCCAATTTCAGGTGTCTTACAGCTGGGACAACAGTTTTATCAGGACTGACTTATGTATTTGCCAAGGACACGTTTAAAATACTCAGCAAACGAAAGCAGTAGTCTATGAACAAGAAGATCTCCAATCTGTGGGTTTGATTTGATTCAACCGGTAGTACTATAGTCGTATCAAAAACATGAATATCAAATGATGTGCTCAAAACCATGGATAATGATGACATTCTGAAATTAGTCTGAGTTCTCCGCAGTATATCAATAGTATCTAATCTGCATACAATAGATGATAATTAACATATAATCCTGAAAGTTCCACCATAGTTCTTCTGTGACTCAGTGACCTAACATGGTAAAACTTCAGAGTCTAAGTAAAAAAGCCTGGAGAGTTTACTGTTGTGATTGCATCTATACGCTCATTATTAAAAGATTTTGATCCTTGTCTTTATCTGCCTGTGATGAAAATTGAACTCTATGGTTTGATAATAATTCTACATATCAGAATCTGCTTACAACATCCTTTGGTCTTTATTTCACCCTCTGAGAATTCAATTTGACTTTGTTAAAAAGCATCAACAGATTTTGGAATCCCCACCATGTTTGGTAATCTAAGTACCATATAAGGAGTTGCTGCTGCCAGATAATAAATGGGTTAACTTGTATCTACTTGTTAATGTTCAATTGTGTACATGCAAGTACACAGTATTTTGATTATGTGGAACATCTGACATATAGATGAAGTAAATATTTAACAATTAACCATTACACCAGATTTCATGAAGGCATGGATTTGTGTGAAACATGCATGTTAAAGACTTTGTGACATCCAGGATTCTTTGCAGATTTTTTTCCAATCATTGCCCAATTTACAGATAGATCTCACCGATTATGTTCAAAATGCTTGAAATTACAATGATTTGCTCACTGAAACAAATTCGGGAGAATGCAACTACAAGTCGTAAATATCTTTCGGCTTGTAACTTTAAAGCAAGCCAATAAAAATAGAGGTTAACTAACTCCAGCGGAGTTCTGTATGTGCTGTATTCATCTGCTAAGTCATTTTCAATCTCCTTTTGTAATTTATAAACAAGTGTTAATATTTTACATAAAACAAATTCACTCCTTCATGAAACCCGGTATTGGACTGATGTTAAATATTTAACTATCTGTCTGTGTCAGGTGTTACCTTAGATGTATACCAGAAGATGGGAAAACTGAAATATTGTAATTTCAGCAAGTTTTGAAAGTGTGATTGAAACTTTGAGTTGCACTCTTCTGAAATAAATATTTTAATATCTGCAAGTTTGTGAGTTGCTTGGATGAAATTTAAAATATCCTCGGGCTGAGCTACGTCACGAGACGTTCCTTGTTGCTAAGACGTGCACTACTGTACCACGTATTTCTATGGGCTCTGCACTCGCTGCTGAGGAACGGTGAGCGAAGAGCCGGTGAAAATTCGAGAAAACAACAGGAACTCAACTTTGAAGTAATCCTGAACAATCTAATTTATATGCGTTACACATGCAGGGGTAATCTTGTTACACTGTTCAGGGGAGTCTCAACAACCATCCCAAAGTACCATTTTCTGAAAGTTTTCGGCCTTTGTTTTCACCGTGTTGGTTGCCATGCGGTGAAAATGCTTGGATGTCGTCCCTGAGAATGTGATCATTCTTGAAGACACTGATCATTGATATCAGAATTTGATTGATTTGGTTAGAGTTGGTTATAACTAGTACCACCCATTATAATAGTTGACGTTTCTGTATCATAAGAGTTGAGACAAAACTCCAACATTCAAAAACTGCATGTGGCCAAGTTCTATGTGCAGAAACTAACTGAATCTGTGTTACTTGCGTGAACACAGCGCCTCCAACAATGTGTGTGGAAATATTACATGTTGCCGCAGAGGGCGAAGTTTGATAAGAAAAGGACGCGAAAACTACGCGTGGGTATTTGTTTACATAGATTCTGAAGGGGGCCCGACTCTTGTTCTTGCCAATATGGGCGTGAAGACGCTATGGGTCGTTCTCGAACCAGTGAAAGATCCTACCCCTCTTGAAGATCTAAAAGGTCAAACGATCGCTGTCGATCTCAGCTCCTGGATTTGTGAAAGCATTGCGGCAGTCAACGCTTTCAAGCCACACCTCAGGTAGGGCCTCTCTGATCATTTATCAACTTGAAGACACTGGGGATTCACTTCTTCACTTTGATGATTCACACCTACTCGACAATCATTGGGATCTGCCAATTGTTATGTAATTTGAATAGCAAGTTTCCCTGGTTGATTACTGCCAATAGTGAAATTCCACCCGGAATTCCACGCGTTACTATACGGAAATGGCGTTGCTACCCAGTTTTGTTATGCCTAAATTTTCGATATTGATTTTAAGAAAATCGCAAAGCTTGACAAGTTTATGATGACCTCTATGTTCAGATCAACAAATAAATTGCAGATAGTAATCCAAAGATTAATTGTTGCACTAAACAATTTGCTGGCAGTGTTCATGTTAAATTAAAAGTATGGCATTTGAAAACAAGCATCAGCTATAATATTCTGTGGTATATACTATGGCCAAACGACGTTTGTACTATGCCAAAAACATGTCTGCCCTTTTATTTAGTAACAGCAGGCATTTGTTGACCCTGGTGCATTGGATGCTGTGACCTCAATTACTTTAATTACTGTGGTATATGTCATGTTTCATGTTGTTTAACTCATCAAAACAGCTCATTCAAAAGTGTTTTGTCATGGTGTAATATTGATCAATTTGTTCCTCTACATTAGAAATCTTTTCTACCGAGTAGTAAATTTGTCACGGCTGAACATTCAACCTGTGTTTGTGATAGATGGTGACCCACCTGAGTTGAAATCGAATGAACTTGTGAAAAGAGCTCATATTCAAGGTGATTCCAAAAATAAACATGGTGAGAAGAAACCTGGCATGCAGAGGACACGTCTAAAAACACTACAATATGAGGTAACATTCAAGTCCCCCAAAATGACATGCCTATGACAGCATGGTTTTTTAGAATGTATATATTTTTTTCTCATAAACCTTAATTTTGATACAACAACACAAAAAAGGAAACAATAAGTGCTTCCAAGGTTTTAAGTATGCAAATGAGGTCATCCAGGGTCAACAACCATTCAAGTCTGATTTTGCATCGGATTTCTCTACATATTTTGTCCTGTTATGTGAATATTATGGAACATTCAATGAGATTGATTTTAAGCCTGGTAAGGGAGACACTCTATTTCAATTTTTGATTTCAAAGTGACTTCAAACCAAGAAAAACTTTTTTTGCCTTTCCCGTAATAGTGAAACTATTTAAAAAATTTGGTGTGTTGGCATTGTCGTCATTAATAATTGTTTCTGCGAGTGTGGTAAACTTGAGTAAGTTAATCCAAAGTATATCAAATGTGCTGGTAGTTATCGATCAGTATATATTTTAATGAGGTGAAAAGTTCAAAGATTGAATAAAATGTGAAAAACTTGCGTCCTTTCTGTGATACTAACATTTAACATATAAATTAATTTCCAAACACTGATCTTTACAATGTTTTTCTCACCTACAAATTTAACTCAGAGAAATAGCAAATCTAAAAATGACTGAAACAATATATATGAATGAGATCTTTGTAGAAATCAACTAGAAAATGAAAAAAAATATGCTAACAAAACTAAAATTACAGAAAACTAAATGTACCCATTGCAAAGTACAATCCGAATACCAACACAGGGGAAAAGTAGTTCAACTATTTTGTTATTAAAATCTTGTTAATACATTATTTTAGTGCTGTAAACTTCTTGATGTCCTTGGTGTGCCATATATACAAGCTACTGGAGAAGCTGAAGCCATGTGTGCACTCCTCAATAAAGAAGGGGTAGGTATCTAAAATGGTGCTGTAATAATTAGCTTATACATTGCTTTTAGTATTGAGATTAGTACATGTTTGCTAGTATTATTCTTGTGACATTTTGCTCATAGATATTACTGCACAAATTTACATTTTTGCTTCTCTAATTTTCCATAGTTAGATAATTTAAGAAAATTCACAAAGACAAATTTTCACAAAGTCTTGACTTGTGTAAACAAGTTGTGTCTCGCAAAATTAAATCAGTTTACAGTTTATGTTAGTAAAAAGTATAAAGGCTAATGTTTTTTTCTCTCTGCTAAGATGTTTTACAATATTCTTTCATCTCGGTATATATATATAGCTTGTGGATGGGGTATTCACTGAAGATGGTGATGCTTTCCTGTATGGTGCAAAGAAAGTCTACAAGAATCTTACTGCTGGCAGCAACGTGAGTAGATGTTTTCCTTGCCTTGAAATATAAATTTTATTTTTATGAAAATCCTATCCTAACTATCTAATAATTTCAAAATTAGCCATTTAATTTATCTTGCACCATTATAAACCTATTTTTATCTGATCAATGTCTCCAATCTTCTGGCTGGTAGCTGTATTGTTGGCTAAGTACTGTTTGGATTCTTTGACATGTCAAGTAATATGCATCATATAATAAACACAACATCTACGGTGTTTGCAAAATGTCAACTACCGGTAATAAGTATTTTACAAATGGCTGAACAATTCCTATCAGTTTTGTAGATTCAATTCTGATTGAGTTTTCAGCATTTTAGGAATGTGGGATTGACAATTACAAATCAGTATTTGATGTGAAGTTGTTTTAACACTATAAATTTCTTTCTGGATCAGCATTAATATGTCGCTCCTTTTAAAATTCAGAAGATGTTGTATAATTTGCTCATGTTACTAATGCGTCTGAGCAAATTTTATCAAACATTATATACTGCCTAGGCTAGCTGTGTTTAGCACGCTCCTGCAGCAGAATTTATTTGCAACAACAACTTTCCTCTACATGCAAGTTATATATTAACTGCTACAATATTTCCAAATTTTGTGAAATTGAATTGGTTTCAGTATTTTATGATTACATGAAAAGTGTGGTTGATGGAGTATCTCACTGACCTTATCATATATGCTTAATTGAAGGGTTCTCACGTTGATGTGTATGACATGTTAGATATTGAGGAGAAACTGACATTGAATCGTAATAAGCTAATAGCTATGGCACTATTAATGGGATGTGACTACTTGTCTGATGGAGTACCAAGTGTTGGCAAAACAAATGCTACACAACTAATGCACAGTTTGGGTGATATTGATGTCTTAGAGAGGTATTTACTGTACATTTACTGTAATTTAATTTGCTAAGGATGTTGCATGTTTTTTCTCACTATGCAAGCAGTTGCATACAGGGATCTGCCCACGCTGGTGGCCGGCACTCAGAATTTCCGACCAGGACAAAAAGTTGGCGACTGACACTATTTTATTTGTTTATGATACACACAGTATGTCGGCCACCTGACCATCATTCTATTTTCCTTGTTGGTTTAAACACACAACAACACAATGCTAAAATTAACACACAACAAAACTTTAATAAAAGAAGACGCCGCTGTTCAAAATCAACGTACATGTGTGACATCGGCCTAATGCGTTTTTGTTTTAACTTTCTCCGATTGACATTCTGTTAGTTTTAACAAACGAACCAGATGTATAATCAGTTGTCAGACAAAATTGCATAAATAGACTGGTTTCAGATTTAGCTAGGTGCTGCCCGGAGAGAACATTATTGAGACATGGTTTTTGACTCCTCTGTGCGAAGCACAAAAGGGTGCCTTTGCAGTAAGTGTGTGTGTCTGTTCCACTGATATCTCAAGAACCATACATTGATTTTTGATGAAACTTGGTGCATAGATGCTCTGAGCCAATGCGCCGATTTGATTAGGGTTTGGTAAAAATCCATGCATATTAATTACCTAATTTACATGATAATTAGCTGATTTTTAGCTGTTCCATGACTGTTCCACTGATATCTAAAGAACCACTCATTGGATTTTGATGAAACTTGGCACATAGATGCTCCAAACTAAAGAGCAGATTTGATTAGTTTTGGGTAAAAATCTGTGCAATATTAATTACCTAATTTGCATAATGATAATAAATTTTCGGCTTTTCCACTGATATCTCAAGTACTAATCATCACATTTCAATAAAACTTGGTACATAGATGTCATAGGACACTGCACAAACCTGATAGTGTTTAGGG